CATGTAGCCAAACAATCACCCATAAAAATAAATAAATAAGCCGGGCGGTGGTGGCGCACGCCTTTAATCCCAGCACTCGGGAGGCAGAGGCAGGTGGATCTCTGTGAGTTCGAGGCCAGCCTGGTCTGCAAGAGCTAGTTCCAGGACAGGAACCAAAAGCTACGGAGAAACCCTGTCTCGAAAAATCAAAATAAATAAATAAATAAATAAATAAATAAATCTTAAAAAGAATGCTGAACTTAATACATAGAACTCTCAGAAATTTTTATTTATTTTTGTAATTTTTTTCTTTGCTTTTTAAAAAGAAAGAAATTCATGAGTTCTGGAGGTGACTTGCTAGGTGCACATTGGTATTGGTTTACTGTGTTTTGTTTTTCTGAGACAGATCTCTCATTTGTAGTCCTGGCTGTCTTAGAACTACACACTATGTTGACCAGGCTGGCCACAAATTCAGAGAGCTTCTCCAGCCTCTCCCTCCTGAGTGCTAGGATTAAAGGAGTGCACCACCATCCCTGGCTGGATAGCTCGATATATTTACATTTGTATACATACAGCATATCTATATATGTGAATGTGTGTGTGCTGATATGTATGTGGAAGTCAGAGAACAACTTTTGGGAGTTGATTCGTCCACCTTAGGTCTCCAGGCTTACCCACTGAGCCTTCTTGCCAGCTCCCAGTATTCGTTTTTCAGCAAGTACCTGTGTGTGTATGTGTGTGTGTGTTTACACATACATGGTATAATGCAGGTGTGGAGGTCAGATGACCACTTGGTGGATGGTGATTGGCTCTTTCCTTCTACCATGTGGTTCTTAGGGATGAACTTAGGTCATCAGGGAGGGTGGCAAGTGCCTGTATCTGCTGAAACATCTAGCCAGCTCTTACACCACATTTAGTGCTCATAGTGGCAAAATTTGCTTTTGGAAATTGAATCATGCTGATGGATATCTCTGCAGAGCATAATCCCAGGGCATAATGACACTGCAATCCAAGCTCTCAGAATCTCATGTCTTAGGCTGGGACTAGGTACTAAGTATTTTACTATACTTTTTTTCCCCCCTGTATCATCTAGTTCCTAAACCAGGAAGCAGGTGTGGTCTAATGTGGTATATCCACAGGCCTCTAAGTGGAGAGTTGTCTGCACTTCTGGAATCATCTCTTGATTTTGGAGGCTATTGTTCTGCTGTTCTCCCTTTCTGCTGAGGATGACTTGGTTCCTTGACATCACTTCCCTGAAGAACAGAGTGACTTATTGTGGCTGGTGTCCTTCCTGGCAAGGCCTCTCCTTTGGCTACTTGCTTGCTTCATGCCTTTTTAGGAGCACCCAGTGGTTGGAGGCTCTGGGGTGCACCAAGGGAGTTGTCCTCTTGGGAGTAGCCTACAGGCATACTTTTGACATTTGTGTGATGTTGATGAAAGTTATAAACACTGACAGCAGGGGGGGTATCTGTCGTCCGCATCTGTGTATGTGTGACTTATGTCAGTCTGTGTGTCCCATTCCTGTTCCTGCCTTCCAGATAGCTCAGAATATGTAGCTCGTGTGCTAAGGCTCAGACACTTCTCTTTTGTAGTGCTACTTAGTCTTTCTGCTCCTTACTTGAAGCCTGGACATTCAGGCTGGGCAGAACATAGCCTCAGGACACTTAAGTAAGTGATCACCCTTGCTAAGATTCCTGGCTTCATTATGGAGGTAGGTGGGTGCAGTGGGGGGCGTATTGGCTATTTGTTTGTTTGTTTGGGGTATGCATGTAAGGTGAACCTGTGCTATGGTACGCATGTGGAGATCAGAAAACAAACTTTGGAAGTCAGTTCTCTCCTACCATGTGGATCCCAGGGATTGAAATAAGATCGTGAGATTTGATGACTAGCACCTTTACCCACTGAGCCATCTTGCCAGCTCCAGTGTATTTCTTGTTGAAATACTGTGTTTGATTGGTGCTATTTCACTTCATTTGGTAGCTTATTTTTCAGAAGAGGAAAGGCAAAAACAAGAGGAAGTCAGGAGATAGGGTGGTGGAAGCTAGGCCTATAATCTAGCCCTTTGGTTAGCGCCAGTGAGCACCAGCAGCACCAAGATGAGTTCTGTATTGGTGGAAAATTTAAGAATGTTATATAATTTGGGCTGGGTTGTAGCTCAGTAGTCAGCACTTGGTCTAACATGTGGGAGGCCCTGGGTCTTATTCTTAGCACTGCCAACAACAACAACCAAAAAAAAAAAAAAGTGATTTTTCCACTGCTTAAAAATGGCAAAACATTATGTGTAAGTTGTTACTAACAATGGTTAGTAACTTCTCTGATAGGCCAGTGATAATGGCTCAGTGGGTAAAGGTCTCTGACACTAAGCCTAAGTTTGATCCCCAAGATCCACATGGTGGAAGGGAAGAATGGACTCCTACAAATTGTCCTCTGACCTATGAGGCTCTTATACCCAGTCTTCCCCCAACAACAACAACAACAACAAACTCTCTGATGAGTTTAAGAAGAGCAAGATCTTGACCCAGCCCTTAGCCAGAACACTGTGCTGCCCGCTTCATCTTTTTATGTGTGTCTTTATCTTGACCCATTGGCTGCCCTTGCACCTGTAGGCATCAAGCCTTCTGTGGAAGCCACACCTTTCCTCAGTGAGGATGGGAGATTGATATTTAAAAAGCCTGATGATGCACTTGTTTCAAGTGCAGAACTGTCTTTCTCCGTACTTGAAGGGGAAAGGGGAGGCCAAGGTAAGGAGGTAGGAAGGAAGGGCCTGCCGTCTCTCTGTTGGTAAGCTGAGTGGTACTCTGAATCTGGCTGTGCTGTCTTGTTCCTTGTAGCCTCACCCTGAGTGATGTAACACTATGGTTCAGGACAGAGTGGATTCAAGGGCCTCTTCATAGCTCCAAGGAAAGCTAGAGGTGTGGAACTGGGTGTGGCTTGGGAAGAGATTGACAGTACTTTACCAGAGCCCTAAGGAGATAGATAAGCGGGGGTGGGGGGCTGCCATACATGCTCACAGACACACTGTGTCACTGTTTTCACTGGTCCACGGATGTCCATACCACTCTTCTCTGATATCACTGCTTGCTGTCAAATCATTGTAGGCTGTGACAGAGGACAGATTTGGAGTTTGGAGAATGCCCAGTGATCGCACCAGAGCTGAGCCTAGCAGCTAGAGCCTTGGAGCCCATTGAGTCTCATGCCCTGATTCTGTGTGGGCTGATCGTGCTCTGTCCCAGCTATCACTGTACGTTACGCACTGTGAGCCAAGGCCGTGTGCACCACTAGTGTACCTATGAAGCATTGTGGCTCTGGAGTCATACCTTGCTTCCCATTGCTTTGACAGGGCAGTCACTGTTAGTTCCGTTCCTGCTAAGTGTATTTTAACATGAGATTACAAAGGAAGCTCCTGAAGCACTGAGAGGTCAAGTTATAAGGTCATTGCAATTGCAGCAAGTGGACCAGCATTTGTGTGTGTGTAAGTGTGTGTGTGCGTGTGTGTGTGTGTGTAGTACTGTTACTTGAGACAGGGTCTTATATGTAGTACTGACTAACAAATACTGACTCACTATCTTACTCTGTAGCTCACGGTGGCTTCAAATTCAGAGATCTGGATTCTACTTCTTCCCAAGTACTGGGATTAAAGACATGTACCACTGCTGCCCGGCTACACAGGCTTTTTTAAACTTCTATTTTAATTTATTATGTGTAAGGGCAGGAGTTCATGCTATGGCACCAGGATAGAAGTCAGGACAATTTAATTGCAGGAGTTGCTCTTTCATTACCAGTGTGGGTCCCAGGGATCTAAGTCAAGTCATCAGGCTTGGCAGCAGGTAGATTAATACCCTGAGCCATTTCATCAGCCCAGAGCTGCAGATGTTGAGCTCCGTCTGCTTCAGTGGGTTATGGTCCCCCACGACAGGCCTCTGGAGTGATTTTAGAGTTGGTGGCCACCTAGAGGTTGGTTTGTAAATGACTGGCGGGGAGAGGTTTCTTTTCTTTTTTTTTTTTTTGGTTTTTTTTCGAGATAGGGTTTCTCTGTGGCTTTGGAGCCTGTCCTGGAACTAGCTCTGGAACTCACAGAGATCCGCCTGCCTCTGCCTCCCTAGTGCTGGGATTAAAGGCGTGCGCCACCACCGCCCGGCTGGGGAGAGGTTTCTAATGTACGGTTTAAACCTGACCAAGCTCAGCTGTTTCATGAACAGATGGCAATCTCAGCACTGACTCTGGCTCCAGATGGTGTCAGAAAAGGTCTTGTTGATACAAACCCTGGGCTGCCCGTTAGGCCTGGTCCCCACTGCAGTTGGTCTTTGTGGTCACCTTGTGAATGAGTACTACTGGGTTCCAGGCTATCCTGTGAGCTTGGTCCTGTGTGGACGAAGAAGTCTTAAGGTTTTTGGAAACAGCCTCTGGCTGTGGCCCCACCTGTTTTAGGGCTCCTACGGAGCCTTCACTCTGGTGAAGAGGCATAGGCCCTGAGGACACATGTGCCTCTTATCTCTCCATGGCAGGCGTTTGGTAGCTGCATGCGTCAGAGTACACTGAGGGGGAAAGAAGGGACAGAGGTGGGGGAGTCATGCTAGAGCCAGGTAAGGGAATGGACCCTGGAATCTCCTTTGGGATTTTCCCTTTGTTCCAGTGCCTTCTGTCAACCAAGAGTCACCTGTTGAGAGAGAATATCCAAACTGGATGGACTCTTGACTCTGGACCCCATACCCTCGAATTCCAAAGTTATGAATATCACTTCCTACGTCAGGTGCCAGGGACTTCTCCTATGTATGCATGTCTCCCTACTGTTGTGTGTCTTTGAGGACTTACGAGTTAGGCCAGTAAGGCTCACACTCATGTGTGAGGTCTAGCTAGGCCACACACCATCCTAGCCTCAAATGCAAGCCCTTCTAAAGGCTTCCTTCAAAGAAGTGGGATACTTAATTTGATCCACCATGGAGTATGATTTAGTATTTGGTACTGAGTGGTCAGATAGGTAGGATTTCTCATTGCGGTTTTTCTGTTGTTCCCATTTCAAGGAAAATTCTATCTCGCTGCTGTCCTCCAGTCAACCCTGTGTACCTCTGCTTCAAAGGTGAGCCCCGCAGCTGTTGGACTCAGAGGCTTGAGTGCCAGGGCACCATTGCAAGGGCAACATGGACACCTGCCTCTGCAAGATTGGTTGTCACAGGACCTCAGTACCTTCCTGTGCGCAGCTGGCACTCATCACCTCCCCTAGGAGAGGACTCTGTGGTAGAGAAGTCCCTTAAGTCCTTAAAGGACAAGAATAAGAAGCTGGAAGAGGGTGGCCCTGTGTACAGCCCGCCAGTTCAAGTGGTAGTAAAGAAGTCCCTTGGGCAGAAGATACTGGATGAGCTGAAGCACTACTACCATGGCTTCCGCCTGCTCTGGATCGACACCAAGATAGCTGCCCGCATGCTGTGGCGCATCCTCAATGGCCACACGCTGACCCGCCGGGAGCGCAGGCAGGTATGGATGGGGCACGCCACCGTGCTCTCCTTTCTACTCAGCTTATTCTACTCCTTTTGATAAAAGTCAGTAAAGGTTTATAAAAAACGAACCTTTCTCATCCTCCTAGTGAACTGTAATGTGAATACTAACACATTCTTTCCTCCCTTGGTGATTTCCTTCAGCCTTGCCCTTGATCTGGGTCTGTTTCTACTTCATAGACACTATGTCCCTCGGGGAAGTCTCTCAGTTATTTCTTTGACTCTGTGAGCCTGGTATGTAATTCCTTTTGTCCTTAAGCTCTGAAAAGGCCCTTCCTGGGGCTGGAGAGGTGGCTCAGTCATTAAAGCACTTGCTGCACTTAACATTATATGGGAGATGCCAGGTGATAATGGTGCACACCTTTAATCTTAGCACTCGGGAGGCAGAGGCAGGAGGTTCTCTGTGAGTTCGAGGCCAGCCTGGTCTACAAAGTGATTTCCAGGACAGCCAGGGCTACACAGAGAAACCCTGTCTCTGGGGGCGGGGGGGACAAAAAGGACTTTGTGGGAGTTTGAGTTTAAAGATGACAGATTAATCTGGCAGAGGAAATTTCAAGACAAGATCTTTTCACCTAAGCCTGACCTTCTGAGTTTAGTTCCCGAAGCATGTAAGGGTACAGGGAGAGAAATGGCTGCACCAAGTTGTTCTTTCTCTTCCACGTGTGTACTATGGCACACATTCACCCTCCCACATACATGATAGGTACACACCTGTGCTTACACACATATAATGAAATAATTGTTTTTACCCAGGTTTATAGTAGGGATCAGGAGCAAAAGCTGAGTGGAAAGACTTGAAAAACTTACAGTTGGGCCAGAAAAGCCAGTCAAAAGTTGGAGCTAAGGATAGTGCAGTTGTTAAAGAAATTGGAACCATAGGGCTGGAGAGATGACTCAGTAGTTTAGAATGCTTATTGCTCTTGAAGAGGATCTGGGTTCAATCCCAGCACCAGTATGGTGGCTCACAACTGTCTTTAACTCTAGTCACCAAGACTTTAGACACTCTCATTTGACCTCTTTGTATACCAGACATGCATAATGGTACATAGACATACATGCAAGCAAAGCATTCGTGCACATAAAAACAACAACAAGAAAAAGAGAGAGAGATTGGGACCTTTAAAAACAAGCAAGTACTTTGTGAGAAACATGCCTTTAGGGCATCTAAGGAGTTGGTCAGACTGTGGCCTATAGTAGGCTCTGCTGTGGAAAAATTTAAACTCATTTGAAGGACTTCACAGGTTCCTCTACTTGCAGGGGGTGTTCTGGGATAGCTTCGTAGATTGCTATCTTATCTAAATGGCCCTCCTTTGGGCCGGTCTCACATTCTGTGCATCTGGTGAGCTGTGGGTTAGCACCCAGTCCTATTTTTCTTAAGGCCATTAGCATGTTTAGACTGTGAGAAAGAGGTGGGTTTCTGGAGGTTATCTGCCAAGAGTCTGAGTCACACTGTGGTGTAGTAATGGTAAGAGAGATGTTCCTGCCCTGCTCTGCCCACTGATGTTTCCACATCTTTGCAGTTTCTCCGGATTTGTGCAGACCTCTTCCGCCTAGTGCCCTTCCTGGTGTTCGTGATCGTGCCCTTCATGGAATTCCTGCTGCCTGTAGTTGTAAAGCTCTTCCCCAACATGCTGCCATCCACATTTGAAACCCAGTCCATCAAGGTGAGGCCACTGGGACTTTGAATGCAGTTTGATAATTAGTCTAAGGATTAGGGCGACAGCTAAATCGGTAAAGAAATATTTGCATGCCGGGCGGTGGTGGCTCACGCCTTTAATCCCAGCACTCGGGAGGCAGAGGCAGGCGGATCTCTGTGAGTTCGAGACCAGCCTGGTCTACAAGAGCTAGTTCCAGGACAGGCTCCAAAACCACAGAGAAACCCTGTCTCGAAAAAACCAAAAAAAAAAAAAAAGAAATATTTGCATGAAAACACAAGGTCTTGAATTTAAATCCCTGGAAGCATGTAAAAACCAAGCTGGGTAGTACATCTGTAATCCCAGGTCTCCTGTCGTGAAATGGAAGGTAGATATAGGATAATTCCTGAAAGATCATGTGTCGTCAGCTAGGGGCAAAACACAAAAAAGAGACCCTGTCTCAAACAAGGTGGTGGTGAGGACCAAGGTATCTCCTGATCTCCACACACAATGTCCGCACTCACGTAAGTCAATGTACATACTCATACGTTAAACATACAAACACACACCCAAAAAAAATAAATAACAAATAGAAAGAAAATGAGTCTAAAATTCCTTCAGACCACACACTATTACATGTGTTGTCTGGTTCTTTTGTGATGCACCAGCTGAGCTAAGTGATTATGTCAGACCAAATGAGGCCCCAAAACCTCACTGTCTGGTCCCTCATGAAACAAATATACCAACGTCTGCTGTGAGGTAGGGTTGAGGCTTCCCACAGACATTTTTTAAAAATGATGAAGTAGAGTTTAAGAATATGTCACACTTAGGTTTTGTCCCTTGAAGGATATGGGATGTGGGCGACTGGTCTTACAGTAGGCAGCATTCTAAGCAGGCTTCAAGACTACTTCCTACTGTAGAGACAGGTCATGGTGGAATGCAAGAGGGTTCAGGGCATGGCTGGGCTATATAACCTTTAGTTTTCTCTCATAGGAGGAAAGGCTGAAGAAAGAGCTTCGGGTAAAGCTAGAGCTAGCCAAGTTTCTCCAGGACACCATAGAGGAAATGGCCCTGAAGAACAAGGCAGCCAAGGGGAATGCCACCAAAGACTTCTCTGCATTTTTCCAGAAGGTGTAGTATTCCCAGCTGTCACACGATGATTCAAATGTCAAGCACTACTAGGCCTTTTCTTCCCTCTTCCTTCCTTTACTTCTCTTTCTTTCTCTCTCTCTCTTTTCTTGTCTTTTAAATTGTATACTCAGCAGATAAAGCTCTAAGGACAGAGCTTAAGCTAACTGCCTGCTCCCTGTGCTCAGTCCCTCTCAAGGGAGCTGTAGTGTATACAAATGCACCTCTTCCTGCCACTGACAAACTGGGGTGTGGCATGAGAGCCCAGGGCAGTGCCCACAGCCCTGATGGAAAGAGTACAGCAGAACTGACTGCACACTGGCATTCCCAGTCTCCTGGTGGACAGCAGCCTGGATGGTGATGCACGAGTAGGTGCTGTGTATCTAGTGCTTCCTGCAGGCTTAGAGTGCCTGAGGTATGACCACCCCTGGAGAGCTTGGTGACAGGTAGGTGGTCTGGCCCTCTGCATCTGCTCTCTCAGTTCCTTACTTCCAGCTGGAACCCAAAGCTAACTCTGGGAACAGGAGAATGCATAGTTTGTACTTAGTGATTAATACTTGGGATTACTTCTGCAGATCCGGGAGACAGGAGAAAGACCCAGCAATGAGGAAATCATGCGTTTTTCCAAATTATTTGAGGATGAACTGACCCTGGATAACCTCACGAGGCCTCAGCTGGTGGCACTGTGCAAGCTGCTGGAGCTTCAGTCCATCGGCACCAACAACTTCCTGCGTTTCCAGCTCACCATGCGCCTGAGGTCCATAAAGGCTGATGACAAAGTGAGTGGCAGTGAAAGTCACAGCTGTTGCAGAGTCCTGTTCTGGCCACTGTGAGGCGCCCTCTCATCTCTGTTTTGCACAGATTCCCTTTTCTCTCCTCAGGGCTCTGTCTTCTCGCTTTTCTTTTTTTTTTTTTTTTTTTCTTTTTTGATTTTTCGAGACAAGGTTTCTATGTGGTTTTGGAGCCTGTCCTGGAACTAGCTCTTGTAGACCAGGCTGGTCTCGAACTCACAGAGATCCGCCTTCTTCTCGCTTTTCTTGTCATTATTGTTCTCACATGGCTCAGGCTGGCCTAGAACTCACTAAATGGCCCACACTAGCTTCACATTTGTGGCGATCCTCCTGCCCCAGGCTACTGAGTGCTGGAATTACAAACATAAACCACCACACCTGGTTTGTTTGTTGTTTTGTTTATTTGTTTCTTTTTGCTTGGGAAGAACAGTTCTGGGTATTGAACCCAGAGCCTCACAGTGCTATGTAAGCACTCTGACTCCTGGGCTGTTCCTTTAACCCTCTTTTCTTTTCCCTAATTCCTTTAGATTTATTTCTGTATGAATGTTTTAACTGTATGTATCTATGTGTACCATGTGTGTGCCTGGCACCCTCAGAGTTCAGAAGAGGGCATGAGATCCTGAAACTAGAGCAATAGATGGTTGAGAATGACTAACCATATAGGTGACGGGAATTGAACCCTTGCATGATGGAAGAACAGCTAGTACTCTTATCTATTGAGACTCTCCAGCCTTGCTCTGTTTTCTTTTTCCATTTTTCATGCATATGTAGTATTTATATGGGTATGTATTGCTCATTTGTGGTGTGTGTGCATGCGCACACACGTGTGCACACACGCACTGGCGTCTGCACGAGTGAGTTCATGTGTATGCGTAAGCCCAAGGATGATGTTGGGATCGTCCTCAATTGTTCTTCCATCTTACTCAGCCAAACCCAAAACTTAACACTATAGCTAGTTTCCTAGCTAGCTTGCTTTAGGCAGTGCCCAGCCTCTGTCTTCTAAGGCTGGGTGTCATGTAACCTAGCCTAGCCACCAACTCACTATGTAACCACGATTAGAATTTAGCCAGGCAGTGGTTGCGCACATGCCTTTAATTCCAGCACTCGGGAGGCAGAGACAGGTGGATCTCTGCGTTTGAGGTCAGCCTGTTCTATAGAGTGAGTTTCAAGGCAGACTTCAAAGCTACAAAAACACCCTGTCTCCAAAAACAAAAAAACAAAAAGATTAGAATTTAACTCTTTTTTATTTATTATGATTTATTTATTTTTATTTTATGTCCATTGGTGCTTGCCCACATGAATGTCTGTGTGAGTGCGTTGGATCCCCTGGAACTAGAGTAACAGACAGACAGGTATGAGCTGACATGTGGATACTGGGAATTGAACCTTAAAGACAATTTTTTTTAACATTTATTTACTTAGTGTGTCTGTGTGTGTGCAAGCATTGGGCATCACACATTATATGTGTGGGGTCAGATATACTTGCGTGAGTCAGTTCTTTTAATCCATGTTGGTCCGAGGGATCAAACTCAGGTTATCAAGCTTAATGGGAAGCGCCATTTTGCTTCCCTGGCCTTCAGTCAACTCTTAATTTTCTTGTTCCCCCTGTAGGGATTGTAGTCATGTCTCACCACACCTAGCCTTAGTACTCTTTCTTTGCTTTTTAATTTTGAACACACAGGATCTCAGTTATCAAGCTAACCTTGAACTTTGAATCTTCCTGCCTCTGCCTCCCAAATCATGGAATTACCAGGTCTGACTTGCCTCTCCCTGCCTTCCTAATTTCTCTTCTCTTCCCTCCTCTTCCTTTCTCCCTGTCTCTCTCTTTTTATTCATTTATTTTGAGGCAGTCAAGGGCTCTCTACTTAGCCCTGGCTGTCTTGGAATTTGCTGTGTGCACTAGGCTGGCCTTGAACTCACAGAATTCTGCCTGCCTCTGCCTTTGCCTCTCAAGTGCTGAAATTAAAGGTGTATACATGCCCTTGTTTTTCTTTCCCAAATATACTAGTTATAGTTCATATCCAATATTGTAGGACTGGGGAGTCTGTGGGTCTTTTGCCTTTGTTGTCCTTCTTGCTTTTTGTCTGTTTGCTATATCATTTTTTCAGAACTACAGGCACTGACTGTATTAACAGAGAGTCTTTCAGGAAGGACACACTCAGTGAGCAAGCCCAGGGGGCTTTGGGCTGGGAAAGTGGCAGGGAGCTAGCAAGGAGAGAGCTAGCAAGGAGCTGACTTTTATCCTCAGCAGGCAGTAACAGTTACTTCCTCTCTGTCAAGGTGTCATTAGAGGCAAGTGGAGACCCATGGTTTCCCCTTTACCCCTCACTGTCAAGTGGAGTCAGGACTTCGACACCTGTCCACAGTCACGAGACCAGGTCCTGTGGTGTCAGTGGGAGCTTGGTGGGAGGCAGTAATGAGGGACTTCTGCCCTGGCAGCCAGGGTATCTGCAGAAGTGGAGAAGGGGGTGTTTACCTTAGAGAGTCAGCCAGTGCAATGGGAGCCCATGCCCTCACTTGTTCTAAAGTTGCCCCTTAACTGTAACTAGTCTTTCTCTGTCCAGCCAGCTAGCTCCCAAATCGTAACACAGAGACTTCTTATTAATTTTGAAAGCTCGGACTATATTTTAGACTTGTTCCTAACTAACTGGCTCTTATTATTTAAATTAACCTATGTATTTTAATCTATATTCCACCACATGGCAATACCTCTCTTCCATCTTGTACCTCCTGTTTCCTCTCCATGTCTCCTGTCTTGTCTTGTGCACCTAGAATCCTCCTCTCTTCCTTTTTCTCCCTGGAAATTCCACCTATATTTCCTGCCTAGCTATTGGCCCTTCAGCCTTTTATTACACCAATCACAGCAATATATCTTCACATTGTGTAATAATATCCCACAATACTTAACTTGTGGGTGGGACCAGGTAGCAGTGTGGAGAGACAGCTATGTCACTTGTAGCAACAGAGTCACATGGAACCTTGCTGCAGAGTAGGGATAGAGAGCTTTCCTTTTTAGACCAGGCTGGCCTCGAACTCAGAGATCCACCTGCCTCTGCCTCCCAATTAGAATTAAAGGTGTGCACCACCACTACCCCACCTTTTTTTAACTTTTAAAATTGTATGTGTATTAGTGTTTTGCCTATATGTGCATCATATAAGTGCCTGGTTTTAATGGAGGTCAGAAGAGGACATCAGGTTACCTGGAACTATAGTTAGAGATGGCTGTGAGCCAGCATGTGGCTACTGGGAACCACATCCAGGTCCTCTGCAAGAGCAGCACGTGCTTTTAACTGATGAGCCATTTCTCCAACCTCAGGTGTGTTAACATCAATGTCTTAGATCCAGATGATCTTGAAAAGCAATACTTGGCTTTCTTTTGCAGTTGATTTCTGAGGAAGGAGTGAACAGTCTGAATGTCAAGGAATTGCAGGCAGCATGTCGAGCACGAGGCATGCGAGCACTTGGCGTCACAGAAGACCGTCTGAAGGACCAACTGAATCAGGTATGTGACCTCAGTGACTAGTTGGGGCAGGTTAGTAGCTTTCTCCTCTGTTAGGAATTATCTACCTTTCCTCCAGACCAGCACAGGTGTATGCTCGTACGCGTGTGTGCGTGCGTGCGTGCGTGCGTGTGTGTGTGTGTGTGTGTGTTTGTTCAAACTGGAAAAGTCCTTAGGTTGGCACAAGGGGTATGCATACCAGGCCCAGAATTCAATCCTTAACACTGCACGGGAGTACACACATACACACAAACCTGAGCATGGTGAAACGTGCTAAGTCAGAAGGATCACTAAGTTTGAGGTCATCCTGGGCTATTGTGTAAGACCCTATCTCAGAACAAACAGAAGGAAAGAGGTCTAGGGCTATAGGTCAGTTGAGAGACTAGCCTAGCTTGCACAGGATGGATCTCTGGTGCCACCTGACATGGCTGTTTGCATCTGTAATCCTGGCACTCAAGATGTGGATGCAACAATTAGAAATTTAAGACCATCTACAACTAAAAATCGAATCAGACCACCCTCACGACTTGACTACCATCGCATCCACACTCTCAGCTACGCTAAGCCTGGGCTTCTCCAAGTGGGTGCCTGGTATGTGGCACTGCACCCTACCTGAGTGGGAGGGTCCTGAGGCAATAGTCCCTGTGCAGGTTTGTGGCAGTGAGTGACATTTATAGCCCCTCGTCTTTGGAGAGATGAGTCTGGTCTTCCTCCTAACTCAACTTCACACCTGTCCCTCTTGCCACTTTCCATGTACTCTCACATGTGACCAAGGATGAGTGAACGCCTACTTTCCCACTAAACACATTTCTGCAACCCTTTTTTTGTTGGTTTTTGGTTTGGTTTTCTTTGGTTTGGTTGGTTTTTCAAGACAGGGTTTCTCTGTAACAACCCTAGCTGTCCTGGCACTAGATCTGTAGATCAGGCTGACCTTGAACACGCAGAGACCCACCTGCCTCTGCCTCAGGAATGCTGGGATTAAGGGTGCATGCCACCACTGCCTGGCCCTTGCAATCCTTTCTAATTTGTCTTCCAAGGGCTTCTTCATCACTTAGGTTTCCAGCACAGACCTAAAGGCTTAGTGAACTGTGAAATCCAAGGTCATGGTCATTTGACCTCTGCCTTTCTTCTTCTGCTGCTCTCCTTTTTCACTTAATCTTAGCCCTTCTTTTTTTTTTTAAAGATTATTTATTTTATTTTTATGTGTATGAGTATTTTGCTTACATGTCTATATATGTACCACATGCATGTCTGGTGACCTTTGGCTGTTAAGAGAAGGTGTTGGATGCCCTGGAACTAGAGTTACAGACAGTTGTAAGCATCCTTGTAAGTGCTGGGAATGGATCTGTGAGTTTGAGGCTAGTCTGCTCTACAGAGTGAGTTCCAGGGCAGCCACCCTACACAGGGAAACTCTGTCTTAGGAGTTGGGGGAGGGGGGATGATGTCTCTATCTGCTAATCCATCTTGTCAGCCTTCAGTTTGCTTTTAGCATAGTGTTGTGGGTTTAACTAGAGGCTACACATATGCTAGGCAAACTCTTTGCCACTGAGCTACAGCCCCTGTCCTCTATATTTTGTTGTTGTTGTTGTGTGAAACCAGTTCTCACTGTGTAGCCCTCAGTGTCCTGGAACTTGCTATGTGGACTGTGCTGGCCTCAGACTTAGAGATCTGCCTGCCCCTGCCAATGAGGTAATGAATTCATCACCACATCCAGCCTGCCCTTCAATATTTTTTTTTTTTTTTTGATTTTCGAGACAGGGTTTCTCCGTAGCTTTTGGTTCCTGTCCTGGAACTAGCTCTTGTAGACCAGGCTGGCCTCGAACTCACAGAGATCCTCCTGCCTCTGCCTCCCAAGTGCTGGGATTAAAGGCGCGCGCCACCACCGCCCGGCTTTCAAATTTTAAAAAAGAAAGAAAGGACAATTTTTCTAGACAAAATCTCCTACTATATTACCCAGTCTGACTGAATTTCTAGGTATCCTTCTGCTTTCTAAATTTTTTTATTTACATTTAAACACATGGACCAGTAAGATAGCTCTGTGAGTAAATGTGCTTGCCTCCAAGTTTGACAACCTGAGTTTGATTCCCAGGATCCTTGTACAAGAGGAGAAAGACTCCCAAAAGTCATTCTCTTAACTTCTATTCATGTGCCTCTGCGGCACGTGCTGCCACCCCCTCCCAAATAAACAAATGTAAAATACATGAATAAAAGTTGCTATAGTAATGGGTACAAGAAATATATATGTATGGTACCCTAGGCCTTTTTTTTTTTTTTTTAAGTGTCGGGTTGTATAGCCCAGGCTGTCATAGAACGTATGCGTGTGATCCTCTACCTCAGCTAGTGCAGGGATTACAGATATCCACCACCATCCCTGGGCCAGTGTACCAGCCTGTTTTCAAGCACAGAGCATAATGACCATTCTTGAAGTACCTGGAGCTGATGGTCAGTTGTTCAGTTTACTAAGGTGTGTGTGTGTTTGTGTGTGAGTGTGTACGTTAATCTTTATGTGAATGGGTGTTGCATGTATGATTGTGCATCTTGTGTGTGCAGGTCCCATGGAAGTCAGAAAGGGGTGTCAGATCCCCTGGAACTCAAGGTACCAACAGTTGTGAGCTGCCATGTGAATGCTAGGAACTGAACCCAGGCCCTTTGCAGGAGTAGCAAGTGCTGTTTCCAGTCCCTGAAAGATATTTTGGAAATATATTTTGGAAATGTATTTTAGTGACTTAATGAACCTATTTGCTCAATCATGTTTGCTGTGGCACCTAGACTCTGTGTCCCTCAACTAAGTCAAAGCCACAGAAGGGAACTCTGGGATGCAGGAGAGGCACTGGGGTTGTGGGTCAGCAAGGACAGCACTGCTAGCGCATGTTCTTTGATTCCAGTGGCTCGACCTGCACCTCCATCATGAGATCCCCACATCATTGCTCATACTGTCCCGGGCCATGTACCTCCCAGACACCCTCTCACCTGCTGACCAGCTCAAGTCCACCTTGCAGACCCTTCCAGAAATCGTGGTATGTATTGTCGGAAGATTCTCTTGACTCGTTATCTCTGTGGGCTTGGTACCCTCGCCTCCACAGCTGTGGGAACCTCTCTACCTTGGGCTTGCTGTCCTCTTCACAGCTCCCTGGTTCGTCTCCCTGCTCAGCCCCCATGTGGCTCGGTCTCAAGCACAGGAGTGCTATGGTGACAAATCTGAATTGATGTATTTGAGATTTGCTCTGAAACTTAAACAGTTCTCCGATGGATGGGGAACCCTACTTACCCTTGGGATCCTGGAAGCACCTCTGAACACTTAGGAGGCAAAATCCCACTAGTGTATTCTGTTTTGTATGATGCCTAGGTGGTAACATTGCTCAGCTCGAGGTAAAGGTATTATAGGTCTGGCACCTCAGGCTCACTGGCAGTTACCTTCTCCTTCCACTTTCCCTCTAAGGCAAAGGAGGCTCAAGTGAAAGCGGCAGAGGTGGAGGGCGAGCAGGTAGACAACAAGGCGAAGCTGGAGGCCACACTGCAGGAAGAGGCTGCCATCCAGCAGGAGCACCTGGAAGAACTGCAGAGGGCTGCCGAGGCGGTGGTAAGCAGTCTGCTGTGATTGACTGTCTAGGACCAAGGCTGTCCCAGTCCAAGTTTTCTAGAGCCTGCCTTATGGCCACGCATGTGACTCTCAGTCCTATCCTGTCTTTGCCTGCAGGGGTCAGAGTGGTACAGGAGTGCTTGACTGTGGTGCTATAGCTCTCAGGGTAATAGAAGACACAATTGGCATAGGAGGGGCTGGCTTAGCACCCGAACAGGAGTCACCAAGGGACTCACCTTCTCAGGGTTGTTTTCCTAAGAGCGCTGACTCCCTATAACTGTGCTCACCCGTTGGCCCTATTGTCTCAAAAGCTGCAGGAAGCTGTGACTGAAGCTTGGAATTGCCTAGGTTATTCATGTCCATCCGTTCACCTGGACTAGCCCCAGAGACAGGCAGCATGTTCTGACTGAGTCTGTTGAGGAGGCTCAGGTGGCCTGCTCATCCTGGGGCAGGGAACTGCCACGGCTGGATGATCTGTGGGTCTTCTTCGTCATTTAGTAGATTATGCCAAGTGTACCTGTCAGGAGTATATGCTGAGTATGGACCAAGGTGACACTGTGCTACTGCTTACATTTCAGAAGGACACCCAGCCAGAAGTAGTAGAAGCCACCATTCCTGGGAGGCCAGGGGCCGAGCTTCAGCCAGAGGTGCCTGTTGTGAGTGTGTCCTCAGAGACACTGAAGGATACAGCACCTGTGCTAGAGGGATTAAAGGTGAGCTGTACATGACCAGGGGAGGAGCAGGGCTGGACTGTGGGTTCCTTAGCTCCTAAAGAGGTCTTGCTGGACAAGGCATTTTCTTACCCTCCAGCCAGTCCACATTTCAGACCCTCTCAGAGATCATGGTATGTGCTGTTTGGAAACCCCATTGACTCACTCATTTCTTGGGTGGGGGGCTCACCTCCACAACCATGGAGCCCCTCCAGGGATACTTTTACTCCCTGGAGAGATGAAGTAGTGGCAAGGAGGCAGAGACCAGCCTTAGGGCTATGAGAAGCTTAGAGCCTTTGACACTGAGATGAGGCTGCCAGGCTCCTCATGGGTTTCTAGGCCCCTGTCCTTCTGTTGGGCAGTGGGAAGGGAAATAAAGGCTGAGCCCTCAAAGCAGAGCTTCCTGTGCAGAGGCCCACCCTGGTGTCATTTGCCGGGTGATTGATTGGGTGTGAGGCTCCTTGAGAAACTTCTGTCAATTTGTTATCAATAAATTGGACAGAACATGAATATCTTCTGGGTCCTTCTGTCCTCAGATGCCAGGGGATCCTAATGAAGGAGCAGATATTCAGTGTGGTGGGCAGGTGAAGACTCCTAAGTGGATAGAAGACAATTTGGTCGCTGAATGAGAGAGAAGGAGGAGGAGACTGACTAGGTGAAAGCTGTGTGTTCAGGAAGTCTCCGCTGGGGGTCCTGGAGGATGGCAAAAGCCCTTTGCGTCTTGAAGGGAATGGAGGATCAGGATCACATTCAGGGCTTAGAGGAGGGGGTAAAACTTGTTCTTGATGAAAGCAGAAAGTGTGAAGAGCTGAGGCCGGCAGCTGCCTCTAACAAACAATAGCCTTTGCAAGAAGGGAGCTTGACAAAGTTTACGACCCCAGTCCAGCCCCTGGAGTTTGGAGAGGAGGGTGTGGGTGAGCCCAGCAGAGCCTAAAGGGCTCCTTTGAAGACTGGCCTAGAGAGAGCAGGTTGCTGCATGGCCCCGGAGACCCCAGAATAGACACGCGGTGTGATCAAGGCCAGAAGGTAATGGCAGTGGCAGAAGTCCCAAAAATCTGAACTCAGGGTGGTTCCCAGACAATCCTGCAGAAGCAGCAGGCTGTAGAGGCAGAGACAGGAAAAACCTTGTTTTGGTTGTTTTCTACTCTTTGATTCCTTTCGGGGGGCTGCCACCCAGCTCCCAAATAAATCACACATGGAGGCTTATTCTTTCTTACGAATATCTGGCCTTACCTTGGCTTATTTCTACCCAGCTTTCTTTAACTTAAATTATCCCATGTATCTTTTGCCTCTGGGCTTTTATCTTTCTCTGTTTCTGTATACATTTCTTTACTTCTTTCTCCATGGCTTGCTCTGTGGCTGGGTGGCTGGCCCCTATTGCTCCTTGTTCTTGTTTTTCCAGATTTCTTCTTCTATTTGTGCTCTCTACCTCCCAGCCCCACCTGTCTATTCTTCTCCTCACTATTGGCTGTTCAGCTCTTTATTAGACCAATCAGATGTTTCAGACAGGCAAAGAATCACAGCTGCACAGAGTTAAACAAATGCAACATAAAAGAATGCAACACATCTTTACATCATTAAACAAATAAAGAAGGTGGAGGATGGAGAGATGGCTCAGTAGTTACATTATTCTTGTTCAAGTTCTTTTCCCAGCACCCACACCTGGAGACTGACAACCACCTGTAACTCTAGCTCTAAGGGACCTGATACCTCTTGTCTTCTTGAGTACCCACACTCCTGTGCACATTCCCACATATACACATACAATTAAAAAGTTAATTTTTTTCTAAAGAATTCTCAGATGTAGCATAGTAACTCATGCCTTCATTCACAGTACTCAGGTGACGGAGACACACACACATAATATATATATATATATATACATTATAATAAATAAATAGTAAATAAACTTCTCACAACTTAATAAATAAGACGACAAATATTTTTTTGAAATTGTCATTATTGGGGGCTGGAGAGATGGCTCAGCAGCTAAGAGCACTGATTGTTCTTCCAGAGGTCCTGAGTTCAATTCCCAGCAACCACGTGGTGTCTTACAGAGGGAATCTGGTACCCTCTTCTGGCATACAAGTGTATATGCAGATAGAGCGCAGTATACATAAAATAAAGAAATCTTAAAAAGAGAGAGAGAAGGAAAAGAAAGGAAGGAAGGAAGGAAGAAAGAAAGAAAGAAAGAAAGAAAGAAATTGTCAGTATTGAGCCAGATGGTGCAGGAAGAACAGCCAGTGCTCTTAGCTGCAGAGCCATCTCTCCAGCCCCCAGTAATGACTGGCTACTTAAGAGACTAACAAAGGAGATTCATAAGTTCAAGGACAGCTTGGGCAATTTAGTGAAAGCCTTATCCAAATAAAAAGTAAAATAGCAGTGGTTAGAGAAATGTCTTGGAGTTTAAGAACACTGGCTATTCTTCCATAAGATCCAGGTTTGATTCTCAGCACTCACGTGGCAGCCACAACTGTCTGTGACTCCAGTCCCAGGGCATCTAATGCCCTTCAGGAACAAGGCAGACATGCGGTAACAGACAAACATGTATGCAAAACACACCCATACACACACAAAAAAACCAAACACTTTTTAAAAAATATAAAATAAGGGACTAGAAAGATGGCTCAGTGGTTAAGAGCACTGGCTGTTCTTCCAGAGGTTCTGAGTTCAATTCCCAGCAACCACATGGTGACTCACAACCATAGTGGGATCTGATTCCCTTTTCTGGCCTTCAGGAATACATGCAGGCAGAACATTGTATACATAATAAGTAATTAAATCTTTTTTTTAAAAAAAATGTAAAATAGGGCTGAGAATATGATTCAATAAAGTACTTGCATAGCATGCTTGGGTCCTAGGTTCTGTGCCCAATACTGCAAAACAAAAAATATTGACCTTCCATCTAGTGTTGGAGAGGGTGTGGGGGACCTAGATCACTTTGGAAACTATGGTTTGCTAAAGCCTCAAACCTATACTCTGTGATCAGCTGACCTAGTCCTGGGCATTGCCCCACCAGTGGCTATACACAGACATTCACAGCAACTGTCATTGTAATCACTGAAGGCCAATAGGAAGGAGAAAGATATGCTTTGATGTTGCTGTCCAGATTAGAAAATCTTTACCATTAGATGCCAAAGTAGGTGAGCCGGTCAAGAGGCAGACCTAATAATTCCTCTCCTATAAAGTTCTAGAAAACAAAGCCTGTCCTGTAGAGCAGGAGGCAAGTCAGTCTTGCCTAGGGATGGAATCCTGGGGAATAGAAAGGAGCATTTGGGGATAACCAGTGTGCTCATTCTGCTGGCTATGGGATGAGTGTGTTGGGGTACAATGCACCAAGAAGATGCAGAGAGATGAGCTCCAACTCACTTGAGGCTGTCCTTAAGTGCTTGCCTATGTGGCATGAACAGAAAGGCGTTCAACATTTAGGGACAGAAGCCATTGTTCCCTTGACTTAGGTTTATCTTCTTATTCATTTCTTTCTAGGGAGAAGAAATAACCAAGGAGGAAATTGACATCCTCAGTGACGCCTGTTCTAAGCTAAAGGAACAGAAGAAGTCCCTGACCAAGGAGAAGGAGGAGCTGGAGCTGCTCAAAGAGGATGTCCAGGACTACAGTGAGGTGGGGATACGGACCTTGTCCGTAGGCCTTCATCAGATGCAGAGCGTGGGTAGAATGCAGCTTTATCAGACCCCAAAGCATCAAGTAACACTCCTGTCATGTACATAACAAGGTGCCCAGAGAGAATGTGGAGAGAAAAGTCAAATGGAAAATAAATTTTGACCAAGGATATAGTTGACAGAGCACAAGGCCTAGCATGTATAAGCCCCAGCTTAGAGTCCGGGCACCACAGTAATTCTAATCAGGCCACTTTGTAGGTAAATGATACCCTTGCTGGTGCTAAGTAGATAGTGATAGGTATCTGAACCCCGGTGTCACGTAAACAGCCTGGTCACTTGATACATGAAATCTTACTTTCATTCATAACCCTTCAAGAGACTTTTTTCTTTTCTTATCTATTGATTGTCCCTCCCTTCCTCCTTCCCTTTCTTCTTTCCTCCCTCCTTTTCTTTCTTTCATAGTGCTGGGATCGATCCCAGGGCCTTGTGCATGCTAGACAAGTGTTTTGCCGCTAATTACATCCTCAGCCCAAACAGACACTGTTTTCTTTTTATTTATTTATTTATTTATTTATTTATTTAAGTTTTTTTGTGGGGGGGGGGGCGCGGGGAGGGTTGGTTTTTGAAGACAGGGTTTCTCATTGGCTATAAAGCCAGTCCTGAACAAACTCTGTAGACCAGGCTGACCTCGAACTCACAGAGATCCATCTGCCTCTGCCTGCTGAGTGCTGGGATTAAAGGCATCACCACTGCCTGACTTTTTTTAACTTCTTTATTGAATCTTTGGGGGTTTCACATCATGCACCCAATTCTGTTCACCTCCCAGTCTTCCCATATCCCCTCTCATCCCTTTTGCATTCTAGCACTCGGGAGGCAGAGGCAGGTGGATCTCTGTGAGTTCGAGGCCAGCCTGATCTACAGAGTGAGTTCCAGGACAGCCAGGGCTGTTTGACAGAGAAACTGTTTCTTGAAAAACCAAACCAAACAAGCAAACAAAAAACAGACATTATTTTCTAATCTGAGGTAGCAGTATTATTATCCCCACTCTGTTGGGCAAGTAATGATTTGGAGATTGCTAAAACTTAGTTTGCTGTTTCTCATCTTCCCTGTGGTAGCCCCCCTGGCTGTGTGACTTCTCCATCAGAAGGCACATTTTCACCAGACAGAGAAGACAGTGCTCATTCCCCTTGGCTCTTCACCCTGCTTCTGTCCCTGTCATCTTTGCTCCTTGTAAAGATAGAAGGTGCTTAGAACTCCTTGAGCCTTTGGATGTTCATTCTCTAGTAACTACAAAGGAACTTGATATTCAGAATAGGTTTTTTTCCCCTCTAAAAAAAAAAATATTTTTTTTGAGCTTACAAAAATAATCGTGGGCACGGTAGGCTAAACCAAAAAATTAGTAAGAACAAATTTGCATGATGGACATAAGATCATCCAATTTTCTGAGGCTGAATTGAATTCTTTTATTTAGTTTTTTGTTTTGTTGTACTGGGGATCAAACAGGATCTTGTGCATAGTAGGAAGCATTGTACCACTGAGCCACATTCCAGCACAAATTAATGATTTGATTTTTTTCAAGTTCAAATAAAGCCCTCCCTCTCTTTTGATACAAACTTTTTAAAATTAGGACTTACAGGAGATCAAAAAGGAACTTTCAAAGACCGGTGATGAAAAATATATAGAAGAATCCACAGCTAGCAAGAGACTGACAAAGCGAGTCCAGCAGATGATCGGGCAGATCGATGGCCTGATTGCACAGCTAGAGACCAGTCAACAGAATGGCAAACTGGGCCCCCAGGAGAGTTCTCCAACAGGGTAAGTGAGCCATGAACCTGTTCTAGCCTGGCTGCAGCTGACAGGTGCTTTTGCTGGGATCTAATTCCAAAGCATATCTTTGGCCTCTGCCTGCCCCACCTATTGCTCAGGAGCAGCCAGGACCCCAAGAAGTCTTTGCTCTTATTTTTCTTTCCTTCACAACTCAGTTTCTATATCCCAGAGCTTGTTTTACTTAGGTAGCTCAGATCTGTCTCTTCCCTGCCTGTGTCCCCTGACCTGTCTTTTCTCCCCTTCCATGGTGCCATCCCCTTGAGCTTAAGTTGACTCCACGTTCTTCAAACTGCCAGGCTTTCTCCCGCTTCTTCCCTATTCCAAACCCTGGTATTATGACACTGTTGTGGACAGTCTGCTTGCTTAAGCAGCCACCAGGAGACAGTGGCACACTCCATGCTTTTGTAACCCAGCTATGAGTAGGCTTGCCACAGTCCTGACCATAGACTCTACAGGGAGGGCAGGTGCTTGCAGCTGGACTCTGCTTCTGCTCCAGGCCCTTTACCTAGTGACCCTTGTTACCTCCGGATGAGGATGTTTTCTCTCTTATATTGTCTGTTGGCTCCCTGGCAGACACAGCCTAGGGACCTGTGGTGCTCTCCATTGTGGGGTGGGTGCCCATGGAAGCCAAAAGAAGGTATCAGATCCCCTAGAGCTGGAATTATAGACAACTATGAGCCACCCAACATGGGTTCTAGGAACTGAACTCAGGTCTTCTGCAAGAGCAACAAGTGCTCTTAATCACTAAGCCATCACTAATCACTCTCCTGCCTCAGATTTTTTTTCAGTTTTATGTGTGTGTATAAGTGGTATGTGTGAGTGTGGTATTTGTATATGTGCTATCTGTGCAAGTGTATGTGTGCTGGTATACATGCTTATGTGCACATGGAGGCTGTCAGCCTGCAAACCCATGATCTTGCCTCTGCCCCCACCCAATAGAACTAGGGCTTTAGACAAATATGTGACTACTCCCAGCTTTTACATGGGTTCTGAGGATTTGAACTCAGGTCCTCATGCAGTAAGAGCGCTGATAGCTGCTAAACAATCTTCCCAGCATCCAAGGATGTTTTCTACCAGTCTCCATGCTGGCATTGCATCCTAAAGGGAAAGAGCCTGAGGATCTCATGTGGGAGGAGTCATGCTGACATTTCCAGTTCATGCATGGCCGCAGGATCAGAACCTATGGGAAGAGCTATGGGTAAGGCGTGAGGCCGAGCACCTGGCCAATATCACATGCAGACTACACTCCCCAGGGAGAGTGTCATCAGTGTCAGTGAGCTCATCACCGCCATGAAGCAAATCAAGCACATTCCAGAACACAAGCTGATCAGTTTGGCTTCAGCCCTGGATGAAAATAAGGACGGCAACATCAACATCGATGACCTTGTTAAGGTGGGTCTCAGTAAGGCCTGAGCCAGCAGCTAGCCTGACTCCTTTTCTGATTTAGGGCCCAGGGGTTTGGGGAGGAGCTGCTTTTTCAGAGCCTTAAGACTCTCAGAAGGGAACTAGAGAGATGGCTCAGTGGTTAAGGACACTGGCTGCTCTTACAGAGAAGCAGGGTTCAATTCCCAGCATCCACATGACTGATTACAACTGTCTGTATCTCCAGCTCCAGAGAGATACTGGCAAACACCAATGTACATACAATAACTTAAAAAAAAAAAAGACTGTATTAGGAGGTTGGTCTGCAGGCCCAGGTGTCTCAGGCCTTTGCTCTCCATTGAAATCACACTGGAATTAAGAAGTTATAAAAGTTATAGACATAATGGTGAGATAACAAAATTGAGTCCCTGCCCTGCCACAGGCCCACCTATCAAATGTCTCCTTGGACTGTTTCTGCATGTACCGCAGGACCTTACATCCTCTTAGCTCTGGAAAACAGGGTGAACACACCTGTCAGGACCCCTTTGGGGACTGCCTGAGACCTGAGAAACACTGAGTGGGTAGAGCATGTAGGATGGTGGCTAAGGTCCAAGTACATCAGCCCACATACCCAAGTCAGGACCCAGCCTCTAGGGGACGTCTGGATTCCAGCCTGCAAATTACCATGGACCTACCTAAATTATAAATCATGTTTTTTGAAGGAAAAAATTGCCTTCATGGCTTCCAGCACACCTGACAAGTTAGTGGTTTTTCTAGCCAGAAATAATAATTACCATTAGTTCCATTTTAAATCAAGGCGCTATCAGACATACATGCTGAGCATTTTCCTCGCTCTCCCTCCAGTCTTCATGGCAGGAGCAGATATATCCCAATGCCTACCCTTGCTGTACCAGGGAAGCCACATTCAGGGCAGGTCCTAGACCTCCAGCACTATGGCAGAGCCATGGTGACTGGAACAGGGACTTGATGCCACAGTCTTGCTGTGAGGTCTGTAGCCTTGGGGGTCTAATACCCAGGCACCCATAGCATGCAGTGAAATGACCAGTGCCTAGCCAAGAAGATGGCTCAGAGGAGTCAAGTCCTGCCTCCCCAGAGCTGTCCCCAGGACACCATCATGCAGTGATACAGCCTTCTAAGTCCCCTCTCCTGTGTGTGCAGGTGATCGACTTGGTGGACAAAGAAGATGTTCAGATCTCTACCACCCAAGTAGCCGAAATTGTGGCCACACTAGAGAAGGAGGAAAAGGTGGAAGAGAAGGAAAAGGCCAAGGAAAAGGCTGAGAAAGAGGCCGCAGAAGTGAAGAATTAGAACTGCCTGGCTTTTGGCCCACAGGGTCTGCCTTCATCATGCTACACCAACCACAGTGGGGATGACACAAGAGTGATTGCTATGAGGTGATTCTTAGTGGCAAATCTAATATTTTCTCTGGAATAAATCAGAAACTTCCTTAATCAAGCAATTTTTAATTTTCATCATTCCATGAAGATTCAGTCAGCCTGGAGCCCTACAGCCCTCTGAGTGATTGTGTCTGGACTCATGCCTTGGTGTGGTACTAAATGGCCCTAACCCATGGGGTAAGGGGACAGCCACCACTAGGATCGTAGCCTCACACTGACCCATAGCTCCAAAGGTAGCTTGGGCTAGGCTGGGTAGGAAAGTATTTCCCTGTTTATGTCCTTACTCAGGGTCTGGCCAAGCCTCTGTCCCTTGAGAGGAGAGTGAGAACCAAGTGGACTCCCAGCACCTGTGTGGAGCCAAGTAAATGTGCCTGCATTTCTCCAGAGGCCTTGGAATAGGAGGTAGACAGACACAATGCAGGCCTCCTCTGCGCTGAAGACGCTGAAGTCAGTCTGAGGACTTGGGATTCCTCCAGGAGATCTGTATGCTCACTCCTCCACAGTTGTGTCGTAACTACTAGTCCCTGACAGCATTGTCTCTCTTGTATGGATTCTGAAGCATGTTGACTGGAGCGTTCTCAATTTACCATTGATTTTCACCTAATTCTATAACTGACTAGTACTGAATTTACACACATGACTACTCGCCTAGCTCATGAGTAGTTCCGTAATTAACAGGGGACATACACTGAAGAAGCCTTTGAAATGAAATTGGACAGTCCACATTGCTGAGTAGCCCTGGGGGATAGAGCTGATACCTGAAACCTGAACAGACCTGAGGCTTTGTGTGGCTTTTAACATAAAACTTAAGTCCTGCCCAGGACAGTGGCCAAGATGGGGCTTCACAAGGCTGTCTCGTCACAGATGCTCTTGAATGTGCTCCTGCCTCCAGCAGTGAGGAAGTAGTCTGTGGTGCCACAGAGCTTTCGGCGTGGTGTTCCGTGCCTGCTAACGGCTCGCTGGCACCCCTGAGTGGAGATGCACTAGCTCAGCGCCCAGAGCTCTTGCTGAGTGGCCAGCACCCTTTCTTAGTTGGAGATGGCTGCTTGGGCAGGCCAGGGCTGAGTATCCTGTAGCCTCACCACCACCCTCCCACTGTAACCCCATCCTAGGATCACAGAAAGCAAGATCCTGAGTTCAGCTTGAGCTATCCTGTCCAGGAAAATGACTCCAGACAGGATCTAGAAGATGTGCAGAAAAGCAGCAACTAGAATGGAACTTTCTCGGTTTCTTGAAACTTTTCTTAAAGGAAGCATATGATGCTAAGCAAGAATAAAATAATTCTCACACATAAGCCTGTGCAGAGTAACAGTGGAAGGAGCCTAGTGAATATATGGTCACATCTGTGCGTCCTTGTGTACCCTAGCAGCCTGGTTCCCACTGTTAGTGTGTACTTCTGAGGACAAGATTGTGGTTGCCAAATGTGTTCCCACAATGAATCGTTTCTCTTTTGAGCAGCATTCTGGGACCTGTCCTTTGTCTACCTATTGTCTTCCTCCTTCATTGTTACTGGGCACTGTCAGTGGCTGTGTTGGCTGTTGCTGACTCGGGTATTTCCCTGCTGTCCTATTGTGGACTCTGCCCTCACAGGTCACATCATCACCCTGGAAAGTGGGTTCGCCCTGTGATGTTGCAGGGCCTAGCAGTGGGTGCTTGCCTTGGTTTTTGGAACTGGCCCCACATCTGTTTCATTGCTTGACTTCAGTACAGCTGGGTCAGGTTTAGAAATGGCAGGTCTACTGGACAGTGATGGTGGCGCGCACCTTTAATCCCAGCACTCCAGACGCAGAGACAGGTGGATCTCTGAGTTCAAGGTCAGCTTGGTCTACAGAGCAAGTTCTAGGACAGCCATAGAGAAACCCTGTCTTGAACCACCACCACCACCACCCCAAAAAAAAGAAAAAGGAAAAGAAGTAGCAGCCCCATGACAGAACTGTATATGAGCTGAGCATTTGAGAGCTGGCTGTATTTCAACTCTCATAACTGCTCTGTACCCCAGTGCCTGCCCAGGGGCCAGGTGCCCACACCTGATAAATGAAATCTGGCATTCCCTTCTACACTCCCAGCCACCTGCCCACACAGGCTCCTTCTGGACTATCAACATCCTCAATGTGCAGGGCACCATGCAGTTCTGAAAGGCCATCCTCATGGTCTTGGGCTGTGCCTCCTAGGGCCATGGTAAGGGAACAAGTTCTGTATCCTCTTCTGACTTCCAGGGATCCCAGAGCCTCCAGTGGGGTCACATGTAAACATCTTCCATGCCCATGTAACAGCCCTGAGCATTCTGCCTAGTAAAGAGATCGAAGGGAAACTCAGACCTCCTAAATTAATAAGAATTGTGCCGTGGGCATCAGGTGTGCTCAGATTTTAGCGGGGCTTAATCCTCCCCACAGCTCAGTGCCAGCTCACCTTTAGGGGCTCAAGACTTGGTTCCAGGCTCATGCTTTGTGGGACCTGAGGAGACCTGTATCCCCTCATCCTGAGGTATCCCCTCATTCTGTGGAACAGCCCTGTTTTGTGGAGTCAGGCAAGTAAGTACTTCTTAGAATTGAAGCAGACTCGGGGCCCTGGGAGACTGGCAAGCGACAGCTTCATGTAAGGAGGTGACCGAATAAAGTACCACTGCTGTTGTGTCTGCTGTAAGACGATTTGTCCAGCTCAGTAGTCCTGACACCTACCAGGCTCTCCCAGCCTGCAAACCCCCTTAAATGGCCTCAGACTTGTCATCTCACAGCCCCACGTTGTGCCTGTCGTGATCTGCACAGGGTGGGCAGGAGCTGGGACTGTGGCTGAGGAGTCCCAGAGAAGTGGGACCTGTGCCCATACTAAGTGTACTACTGTCTCGTAGACAGAATCCAGCCACAGGGACATGTAAAGGGCAATGGGTCCAGTGGAGGCAGCTTCCCTGGGGTAGCCCAGCTGGGAGGAGGGTAAAGGTATATTATCTATCTCCTGATCTTCCCAGGACCCAAGCACGTCTTGGGTGGTCTCCTGTAGCCATTCTTGGTGTCTTCTAGAATGCCTGATTCAAATTCCATTGGTCTCCAGGATCAAGAGGTACAAGTTGCAGGGCAAGGGTAGGAACTGCTTGCTGGTTGGGATAGGTATTTAAAGGGCACAGCATGCCCACTGGCTGTAGTGAGGACCGAGTAAACATTCAGACGAGATGGATTTAGCCAGGAAATGGAAGTCCCAGGTGACTCTAGAAAAGCCTTATGTGCCAGGGGAGTAGGGATGTGATTGTGCCCGAATCTCTCAGGACATTTGACACACACAGAATCAGTTTCTTGCCTTCTTGGGAAGATAAATCTTTCTCTTCCTTTTTAAAATTTTATGTTTTGTTGCAAGTATGTATGTACCCACAAGAGACCAGAAGAGTTTGTCATATCCCCCAGAACTAGAGTTAAAGATAGTTGCTACCATCATGTAGGTGTTAGAAATGAAAGCCAGGTCCTCTACAAGAGCAGCAAGTACTCAACTAAATCAGAGTCATCTTTCCAGCCCGGAGGGTAATTCCTGCTGCTGGTGCTCAGACCATTGGGGACACAGCTACATGCCAGTGGATAAGCAGGCTCCTGAGAGCTAGCGTGTCCCTGATGCTAGCCAGTACAAACCGGAAACCATCCACCATCACTACCACCCATATCTAAAAGGCAAGGCAGTCAGGTAGAGACTCCACCAGAGAGCAGAGCAGAAAAAGCCTGACTTCAGTAAGGAATGGGAGATTTGAATGCAAATCCAATGCTTGCAGCTTGAGCCACTCATACTCCTTTCCCACTGGACAATGCCCGTACAGTAGACTCTGGTGGTGCAGCTCAAGGCCCGAACGTTTACCTCTTCTAAGGTGGCAATGGGACTATTATGGACAAGAGTGGCCCGACCTATGGCCCCTGACCCTCAGGTCCACTTTCTGTCACCATGGACCAACCCCTTGATGTTAAAACTTTTCTTGGGTGCCATAGGAAGCTATGCTCAACATGGCACTAGGGGGCGCCACAGACTGGCACACAGCTGACCCAGGAAGTGTCAAGCCTGGTTCAGGGATGGGAATGTATCCCTCTGGTCACACACTGCTGTCTAGACTTTCGTCAGGCCCTTTAACTGCCACCCCCTGCCTGGTCATTATAATCAGGTGTGTGTGTGGCTGGAATGGAAACTGTCTGGTCTCCATTTTGGGGCTGCTATGGTGAACCAACAACAGAACGAGACCTACGGCTTCCTCTAAAATCCAGTACCTCCCTGAAGATCAAGCTCTGTCTAGAACCAAAACTTCTGTTAGTACGGCTAAGCAAGTCTCCTGACCTAGAAGGTGGGCCTGATCCTAGCTAGAAGAGACAGACAGTTCATTCAGCCCCCATGTCTCCTAAGGTTAGAAGTATGACAGACGAAGTGGATGTAGGAAGAAGGAAACACTCAAGTTCTCTCTGTTGTCCTGGAACACACATCACCTGCATCATGCTTGGCCCAGTGTAGATTGCAGAAACCAGAGGTCTGGCCACCTACCTTCCTGCAAAAGTCACCACATACACTTTCACTTAATGTCTTCATGGAATCCCTCCTGTCAAGACAGCCAGGAAGCTAGAGAGGCCAAGTGCACTTCTTCCACACACCCATGACCCCCTCCTGAGGACACATCTCCTAGTGCATCCTGTCCTTTGGACCTCTAGACGCTAGTAACCCTAAGATTCTGCCTGCTACTTAGGCCACAGGAAAGCAACCCCCCCCCCCCCCCAAACCCAGCTGTCCTTACTTTGGGAGGGAAAAGCAGGTAATTAGTTCCCTGGGAGCCCGAGACCAGCACCTTGCTCTAGGGAGCAGACACTGCTGATTCCTTAGATGCCGTTATGCCTCCGCCTCTGGCCTGTCTCCCACCCTCCCAGTCTACACCCCCGGCAGTAAGGACACAGTTGCACAGGTCCCAGGACACAAGAGAGCACTCTGAAGATCAGAACCAGTTCTCACTTTATTTTTTGGAAAGTAAGTTGGTTAACAAAATCACATCTGCCAGTGTGGACTGACAAACTATGTGCTGGGTCGCAAGAAAAGTCACCCTGAGCCACTGTCCTGGCCCTGCTGGCTGATAGGCAAGGGACAGCCACCCAAGCCTAGGGCCTGTAACAGTACAAAAAGTAACAAACTGAATTCACCACTCTTACTCCCGAACTTTGAAAGGTAGCAGTCTAGGCTATAAAGTCTAGAAGCACTGCATAGAAGTGTTAAGCCTATAGCAAATACAACTTGTAAAGACTCAATAAATTATATATATAATATATATATATAAACTTGTAACATCTATTAACATTGAACCTCAGGCAGGGCTGGCCCCTCCCTGAACATAGGCTTCTGCCTGGAATACTATCAATTAGAATAATCTGTATGAAAATACCAGTCACCTTGAAACTTTAAAAAAAAAACAAACTCCTGAAGGAAGTTCCTATATAAATCTAATCCCCCACAAAAGAGGGCCAAAGGAAATAAAAAATGCTCACTGGAGCCAAGCTTCCAGGGGCCCGCCTCCTCCAGTCTTGATGTGGGCCAGATGCACCTCAGCAACCCCCTAAATTCAGCATAAACCTCTTCAACTGTTAATAAGTTATAACTTAAAATTTCTGCAATACAAATACCCTGGGACTAAATGCTAGGAACCTGGGGGTCCGAGGGTTGATAAATAGCTTTACAAATATACAGGTCTGGATACAAACAAAACTGTGCTGCCAGAAAAGCCCCTTGCCTCTCGGCTTGCTCTTGGCATTTTACCAGAGAGCCCCTTGGAGTATCCTGCTCCTCTGGCCTCAGCTTTGCCTGCCTCCATATATTCTTTTTTATATATGTATATAGATATATATATATTGTACAGGACATGTATTTATATAAATGTACATTTGCTTCTGGAATAAACCTTTTGACAGACGTTATGGCTCCCACCTTCAGGTACCCGTAATTTCAGTCTGAGGGGCGGGTAAAAAAGGCCTGGGGGTGGAGAGCTGTGACTCGCCCCCAAGCATAAGGTGCCATATTAGGAGGGAGGCTTGCCACATAGGGCAGAGCTTCCCTGCAGGCTCAGCTTTGGGCACCCAAAAGGCCAAGGTCCACCCTGGACATGGAGTATGGCCCTCTCTGCAACGGTCCCTGCAAGGTGGAAGTGGGAAATGAGGGAGCCAGAACCCCAGAATTGCACAGGATGGGCCCTCTTACATTCTACATTTGGTGCTCCCAACCCTGGCCAGTCAGGAGACCACTATACAGCAGTGCGTGTCCCCAAATGGCCTCTGCACCCAGGAGCCAAGGACACACGGACACACACAGCAAGTCCTGTCCACTGTTGGCCCATCACACTGGGCTGGCTGGGGTCCACTGCACACCAGCAGTAGCAGGGCGGGCTAGGGTCCGCGTAAACATTGGCTGGGTTTGATCTGCAGGACTGTTGGCCCCTCACGTCCGAGGTCCCCCATTACTGGGTGGACCTGGGGGCAGCAAGTCGTGGGTGAATACGGAGTCGTCCCCTGAGGAGCTGGAGCTAGGAGTATCCTGGCCACCTGGGGAATACTGCTCAAACGGCACCGACAAGTCCAGGTATTCCTGGTGGCAGAGAAGGCTGTCACGACTGTGCCTTGGCACCCTCTCCACTCCCATGGCCATCTGTGTTCAGCCTGTGCTCCTGAAGGGCAGCCCCACAACTGGAGCTCCAAGGAGCAATACCCCCACAGGGGAGCAGGACCGAGTGGCACTTACATCGGTTGATGTCACAGTAAGGATGCGGTCTAAATCCTCTACCAGCTGCTTGAAGGTGGGCCTCTGTGAAGGCACTGCGTGCCAACATTCCCGCATGATCATGTACCTGTGGCAAAACAGCTTTGAGTTCTTGGCCTGCTGCCAAGCCCTACCTCATCCCAGGGACCCTGGTAGGAATCCTGCCATTCCCAGGGACTGGACAGCAAAGGAAAGGATGCTTTGCTCACAGGTCGTGTGTGCAGTTGGCTGGCTTGTCCATGCGGTGGCCCTCTTTCAACAGCTTGAAAAGCTCTTCCACCGGGATGCCAGGATACGGTGAGCCCCCCAGTGTAAAGATCTCCCAGAGCAGGACCCCAAAAGACCAGCTGCAAGGAAGTGAGGACAAAGGCCCTGTTACTCCTGGCCCATTGCTGCAGCAGCCCTGAACCAGGACACGCCACCAATGGGAAAGGGGTGGGAGCATCAGGACAAGGAAGACACCAGGGCTGCGCTGATGGCCCAATAAACTGATAACACCAGGACCCTGAAGGCTTTGTCCCCAGAACTCCCTCATCCTATGTGTGGACACGTACACATCACTCTGGTGGGTGTAGACTCGGTCAAACAGGGCCTCTGGTGCCATCCACTTCACAGGTAGCCGGCCCTGGGCAGAGGGAGAGGTGTTAGCTCTCGCGTGTCCACAGGTACAGGGGCCCCACCCCCTAACCACCCAGGACTCACATTTGTGGTCTTCTTGTAGTAGTCTAGATTGTGTACGTCGCGGGCCAGGCCGAAGTCTGCAATCTTCATCACATTGTCCTCAGTCACCAGCACGTTCCGGGCAGCCAAGTCTCTGTGAATGCACTGAGGAGACACACAAGGGCTCAGCTGACCCCAGCCCAGCCCAGGCAATCTTGTCA